AGGGCTCACACACATGCAGGCCCAGGGATGCTGGTGCCCTTGGCTGCTCTCCTAGGGCTCACACATACCAAGGCCCAGGGTGCTGGTATCCTGGGCTGCTCTCCTAGAGCTCATATACAAACAGGCTAGCACTCTAGAGCCTGGGTTCACTAGCAATCCATGGTGAGTGAAGCAGGGTCACTCATTGGTGCTGGTATAGCTGATTGAGCCACATTTCAGTTTTAAAGCTATTGACAAAAGCTTTAGTGATTCCCTCTTGGAATTGATGAAGTGAAATCTGCACGAATACGATAAACAATCTTCAAAACCACTTTAGAAAGTACTTTTGAAGCCTGGTCCTCATTGTCTCCAATACAATGAATCCTCATCTCCATGGGAGCCCCACCACCTCTGCAGGGACTGATATCACGAAGGGCATCTAAGCCATGCTGATCCACTCTCTGTGCCTGTGCTCTCCCCTATGTTTCTCACAACTAATGGCACTTTCAATCTCCCCTGGAAGTGGGTGCAGCTAGTATATATGACTTCTTTGAAAAATCTTTCCCAGTAGAATTTCAATAGCAAATCTGCCTTCCATAAATACAAATTCTCCATCCATTATGATGATTTTACCATTAGAAGCAGAGGGCCTGATCTGTGCAGTAGAATGTTCGTCAAGAACTTAGAGAAGGAGCGTATCAGAGCCATCCTAAAGTGACAGTCACAAAAGGAAGAACTTCCCCAACCAGCCACCCCAAGTCCTAAGCTCCAGACACGTACAGAGCAGGCTGATGATGCATAGCCACCAATGACAGAGGAGAAGGTGAAGCCAAGGCAGCTGAGTTCTGCCACCTGTGGGTGGGGCACAGGGAGGGCCTTTGTCAGGAGCTGAGATGTCCTCCAATCCCCAGGAGGGGAGGGATGCCCTGCGGCCACAAGGGAGTGCCCTGTGGAAGGGAAGGGGAAGGAGAGCAGCAGTGAGAGCCACCTTGGGGACAACAATGCACATCCTTCTGAAGGGGGATTCCTGCAGCACACTCAAGGTGAACTTAACAGAATCCGTAGGGCATAGTGGCCCAGGCCTGGTGGGCTGTTAGCTGTGAGGTGTTCCCAGAGACTCACACTTGAGAAAAATACACAAGTCCAGGGGGAAAATGACTGGGTTGTAAAAGCCTGGACCCCATTAGTGTGCTTACCCTTGATGGGCTTCAAGGGGTGGTGACTGGAGGCAGTGACTCCATTGGTGTGTTAACCCCTGCCGGGTAGTGACTGGAGGCAGGTGGGGTATGGCTGGAGGCAGGTGGGGTATGGCTGGAGGCAGGTGGGGTGTGGCTGGAGGAGGGGGCGCTGGCA